AGTTTTGCAAAGTTCATCAAAGTATGTATGGCGAAAAGAAGTGTAACGCATGAGATAGGTAAAAAGGGGTATGCTACATGTTGCCAGGCACCCAGGTGAAAGAAAGCGGTGGCAACTGCAGGAGAAAGGGGAAAAGAGACCAAGGAAAAAGGATGGAGCAGACTCCGAGTAGGTCTGTTTGTGGTATCGACGGTGGGGTTCTTCTTGCAAATGCCGAGGAAATCATAAGCCATCGTCAGGAAAAGGCCAAGGTACGGCCATGAAAAGCGCCAGCCCTTCTGGAGAGAGAAAGTAAAAACAAGGAGAAACAAGAGAGGGCGTTCGTGATCCAATTAACCGCTGATTGCTGGTTGTCCATTATTGTCCAGAGGGCATGAGGGCTCTATCGTCGGCGGTTCGCCGGGTCCCTGCTCTTGAGGCGGGATGTCCTCCAGCCCTCATACCACTGCTCGCGGCTGGCCTCGCGAAGCTCCGCCCGCCATTCGGTGAAGACGGCTTCTTTGAGCTTGTTAAAGTCGCAGTGCTGCTCGTCATAAGGGTCGGCAAACCCCCACGGAAACTGCCGTCCGGCAATTTCAGGCTCATACAGATCTGGGCTGATGATGGAAAGAGGCAGGAACGGAGTTTCGTCCTTCTCTTGCTTCTCCTCCTCCTTGGCTTTGTGGCGGCGGATGGATTGGCCGGACAGTCTCTTGGCCGATGGCGAAGATGGCACGGACCGGACCAACTCGTCACCGCCTTGGATTGGCAGATCATCGTCTTCGGGAGACTGGTCGGAATCATCCTCGAGCGCGTCCTCGTCGGCCTCTTCGATACGGTCCGAAGAGTCGTCATCGTCGTCGCCCATGCCGAGAGCCTCCAGGGGGTCCAGGTTAGCTTTCTTCAGGCTTTCCCAGACAGCCTTCTTCAGAACTTGCATATGCTTCGTCGTGATGGTGTCGGCTTTGGAGACAACGGGAATGACCGTCGTCTTGCCCTGCAGGGTACGTAGGACTTGGAGATCGAGATCCTCGTCGAGGCCGCCGGACACGCGGTTGAGAAAGCGGCTTGCCGCCGTGACCATTGGCTGAGGTGGCCTTGGCGGACGCCAGGTTGCGGTCAAGCCGAGCAGGGTCAAGAACCATAAAGGCAGCGTGAATGTGGGTATCCTGAACGCCAGGCGATCGCACAACCTTCATCTCCTCGGCAAAGGTTTCCTCGAACCGGCTTTCCAAGAACGCCGACATCTCGCGGAGCTGGAGATCGACAACATTCTTTTCCAGACCCTCCGAGTCCCAAAGTGTAAGGCCGACACGCTCGCCTTCGATTTCAGTCTCGAGATAATGGGGGATAAAGTTGCCAGACGCAGCCACTCGAGGTGCTTCTTCCTCGATCTCGCCGCGGCGGGATCGTTTCTTCGGAGGGAGGGCTAGACTGGTCTTCAGAAACTCGAGGAAGGAGGTCTTGCCGGCGCCACGTGTGCCGATGATGAGGATGCTGCCGAGGGAAAGCAATGTGAGCGGGGTGAGACACGGCAAAGCATGGTGAACATGGCAGATCGGTGGGCCGGGAAGGGAAGAGATGGGAAGCGGGCGGGGCATCGTTCACTTACTTGAAGGGAGTGGGATCCTTGCGTCTCCTGACCCGCCTAGGGCTGTTGATGGTGCTGATAGCACTGCTGGCATAGCTGTAGCGGCCACGATGGGTCATGCTCTCGGTGCGAGCATAGGGGTCGTAGGCGTTGCTGGGGATGGGGGGGACGGGGGGAGCGCTGCCGACGCTGTAGGCGGGCTCCATAGAGGGACGAGAGGTGGTGTACATGCCGCCACCGCGGTGATCGTCAGAGTAGACAGAGCCGGCGTCGGTGCGCAGGTCGGAGGGGATGGAGTTGGAGAGAGGAAGCTGGTCGTGGGCGTTGTAGAAGTCGGGCAGCTTGGGGGGATTCCTGGAGATGGCGGCCTGCTGGCGCTGGCGTTCGAGTTCCTGCTCCCTCAGGGCTTGGGCTTTCTTACCGCCCTTCCCCAGGTCACCGGATTTACTGCGTCGGAGCAACATGCCTAGGCTGGAGCGACGGACGGGCGGCTGGCTCATTCTTTGCTAAAAGTGCAGCTGGCCGAGATGGCATGAAAGGACAGTTTCAGACTGAGTAGTCGCGATGAGACGGTGGAGCTTGGCGGGCAAGCGAGAGACAGAAGGGTGGAAGCGCAACGTCAATTGACGAACCACTGGGGCGGGACTGGGCTTGACTTATGACGAACCGGCTGAGTCCGGTGGCAGCTGTCGTGGCTCGCTGAGCGAACAGGCTTGGGTCGGTTGGTGGGGTTCGACCGGTCGCAGGATGACGGATGACGGATGACGCCGTGTCGGCAGATGCGTGGGTAGGGTCGAACGAGGGCGCGTGTGTATCCCAGACCGGGTCGCAAGCAGATGAGAACGACGGGTCAATGTCCGTCGACCTGGTGCACCTGCTGCAACAGTGAGGATAGGAACTGAAATGATGCGCGGCAGGGAAGCGGCAGCGGGCTATTTAGGCAATCGAGGGGGTGGAGGTCGACAGGACGTCGCAACGGTGAAGGCGAAAAGGGGGTAAGTAGCAGAGAGCCGCAGGGCGGATTGCGATTATGCGTGGGTTGGTCGCAGTAAGGGGTTTGGCGGCAGCGGCGCCGTCGCAGGGTGGGTGCTGTTTCGAGTGAAGCTTGGGCTGCGTGAAAAGCCAAGGCAGTGCTGAGGGCACGAAGACAGGTAGGTAGGCAGGAAGATCTGGGGCGGAGTCGCGCGCGAAAAGTAATGGGAGGGCAATATGCAGTGCCTGGGTAGAATGAAGTGATCAGCCAGGTGCCAGGAAGTTGCTTGTCACGGAGAGCAGCGCGCGCGGCAGCAGGTCGATGGATGGTTGCGATTCGCAGAACGATCGAGTGGTTGGGTTGGGCGGGAGGGGGGAGCGAGCTCGTGGCAGCGGCACTAGGCCTGTTGCAGGGTTGACCAATGCCGGCGCCGGGACCTGCCTCCTTTTCCACGCCATGGTGCTGTCTGACTGTCTAGCTGCCTAGCTGACAGTCTAGCTGGCTGGCTGTCCTGCTTGGATGGGTCATGGAACTGGGTTTCGTCGCCAGCGGGACAGTGGCGATCGTCCGACGCGACCACCAGTAACAAGACGAGGTACCCAGGCGAGCCAGATGGGACGACGACGATCCGGGCTAGGGCTCCCAAGAATTCGCCGGTCGCGTGTCTGTGTCTGTAGGGGGGGAGAG